CCCGCCCCTCAGTGCAAGACCCTCGTCCCGCTCAGGGCGCTGGGGGAGGGGGGTGCCGACGTCGCTCCCCCATCCCCTCCCAAGCGCAGGCGACCGACCGGCAGCCACCTCCGCTAGGGTACCGTGGCCTGCCGCTCACCATATTTCCGGAAGCGAAAGGGAGGTGGCACGGAGGACCACAGGAGACGGAGCCGATGCAGCTGCTGCCGGGATCCGACTGAACGCGGCCTCTCCCGGCCCCTTCCGTTTAGTAGGAGCCGCACAATGAGGGGCGGGGCGGGCTTCCGGCGCCCCCTCCGCGGGCCGACGGGAAATGAAGTCCGAGGGTCCTGCGCCGTGGGCAGACTCGGTGGGTAACAGTCTTTCTCGTGAGCCTGCCTCCTAGCTCCGCGTTGCATGCGGGGAAATGTAGGCCGAGGCAGCCGACGGGGGCGGGGCCACAATACGGAGAGTGAGCCCATTGGCGGGATGTCCCAGGAAACGCTCTGAGCTGAGCAATAGGCCCCCGAGCTCGGTAAAACACCCAAAGACGATCCCCCACTAAGCGGCTCTTTATCCCGGAGCGAAACGGTTTTCTTAAGGCCCATCTGGCACTTTCTGTATCTCTTGTTCTGAAAAAAAAATTTTTTTTTTTTTAAAAGATGACCGGTAAGGGGATCTTAACCCTTGACTTGGTGTTGTCAGCACCACGCTCAGCCAGTGAGCGAACCCGTGGCCTTGGTGTTATCAGCACCGCACTCTCCCGAGTGATCCACGGACCGGCCCTTTGTTCTGAAATTTTTGAGTAAGGTTAGGATTTTGCTTTTTTGAACCAAAGCAACTATTCATTGGCCTGGAATCTGGTCCTAAAGCAAGGAGAATCGCAAGTATAAAGGCGACTTCAATAACATTCATTGAGTACCCTCCATGTGCAAAGCCACTCTTGTCTCCTGAAAAAATGCCATACGCAGCTTCAGTAAAATAAGAATAGGAAAGGAAAGTACAGTGGGAAGGCTACATAGAAATCTTCAAAAGGAGAGCTTTGTTCTTGTTTAAAGGTGTTTGGTAAATTCATAAGGCAATAAAGGGGAAAGGGCGGGAGTTTGTGCATTAAATCCAAGGCTTCTTTATGTCTCTTTTACCAAGGCAGTGAGAAGAGGAAATAGATATTAAACCAGATTTGAGAGCTGACTGGTTAGCTCAGTTGGGTAAAGCACGGTGTGAGAATACCAAGGTTAAGGGTTCGGATCCCCTTCACGGCCAGCCGCCGAAAATAATAATAATAATAATAATAATAATAATAATAATAAACCAGACTTGAACCTAGTTCTCGAGTTGATAGCCCGGTATGTGGTTATTCTAATACCCGCAAAAACTGAGACACAAGCTCTGTGGGAGCGTAAGACCCCCCAAAAAACTGGGGTGGGTGACTCCGGGAAGATTTAATTGACCTGAAACAATGACCATGGCCTCACACTGAAGGAAGAGAGGACACGCAGGGTCACAAACAATCCAGAGGCAAACCCAGAAACGGAACTGGGGGCCTCGATCCCATAAGCAGAATAAAGGGTGTAAGTGGAGCAGGTGCCTCGCAGAGCATGCCGGAGGTTGTAGTCGGGGACATCCCGCCACGCCGCCCCCCAGCCGAGCTCCCGGGATCTCCAGGTGGAGGTTGCACCTTGACCCCCCGCCGCCCCCTCCAGAAGAGGAGGCTCGCCCCACCTTTTTCGAGCCTCGGAGTTTCCAACGGCAACGAGTTGGGGGAGGGGGCTTCGCAGTTACCCTGGAGACGCGCTCCCGCCCGCCCCCAGCCGCGGGATGCCCTAGATGTCCTTATTAGGACAAGAGCCTGGGGGGGCGGGGCCAGCCGGAACGCCGGCTTCAGGCTCCTTATAAGGCCGGGTCGGGCGGAAGGCGGGAGTCCGGAGCCTACGGGGGATGCAGGGCTGAACGCTGGGCAGTCTGAAGCGGGGGCTTGGAGCTCAGGGGCCTGCCTCTTCCACCTTGCAGGCCCGAGACCTGCACCTCGCGACTTCTGGCACGACAGCTAGAAGTTGGAGGCTGTTCCAATCCCTGGCGAGGCCCCTGTGCCCAGGTTCTCTATACGTGTTCCTCAACCTGGGATCCCTTTGCAGGGTTTCCATCTTCAACCTCCCTAAGGGTCCCCCCTCCTCCAATGAGCCACAAAAACGACTAAGTGTTCTCCACTTCTACCTCTGACTGGACTTGTTACCCCTAGCTCACTCCCCCGGATCCAACCGTGTATCCATCTCAGGCCTCCTCATCTGCCAGGATGCCGAGCACCTCTCACTGCCCTCCTACTTGTCCTCTACTCTCTTCCCAGTCTTCCAAGCTTAGGCCTTCCCTGCATGTCCCCGACTTCGCGCCCCCAATGCACACACACTGCCCTTTGTCCCGCGGCTCGGGATCACCATTTCCTTCAAGGGTCCTTCAGCTACTCCTACCTTACCTTTGTGTCCTCATTTCCTGCACCTCCTCCTGGATGTCCCTCGCGCAAATATACTCGCACCCGTTTGTTCCCCACCCCCTACCCCCACCTTTCCTGGACTCTTCTCAAGCCCAGTCTCTCTCTCCAGCCTCCTCTGCAAGGATAAGGCTGAAACTGACAGTATTGGGGACTAGCACAGCCAAGTTCAAGTTACTCCGTTAAGCGCCGCCCCAGCCGGCCCTCCCAAACACAAGGGGCGCTGTCCGCCTTCCTCTCGGTTGCACGACGATGACCCCGCTCTCGAATCTGAAGATGGAGGAAGGGGCGGGTCAAGGCTCCGGGGGCTTGGGTGGGGCGTGTCCGAAAGGCTGGTCCCGGCCTGATGTGGGGTCAAGGCGGCAGGCGGTAGAGACAACGCTCTGCACCAGCCAGTTAGGGGCGGGAAGGGCGGCGGTAGACTCTACGTGGTTGGAGAGGTCCCGCCTTCAGACCGGCCCCCCAGAGCCCGGTGTTCGCATCCCGACTCCAGAACTGGAGGCGTCCCAGTCCCGCGGGCGTGAGGTGCCGGAGGACCCGCGCTGGGGTTCATGGCGGCGCCGGTCCGCCTGGGCCGGAAACGCCCGCTGCCCGTTTGTCCCAACCCGCTCTTCGTGCGCTGGCTGACCGAGTGGCGGGACGAGGCAGCCAGCAGGGGGCGCCGCACGCGCTTCGTGTTTCAGAAGGTGAGTCCTGGCTCGGTCTGACGCGACAGGGTCTGGCCGGGCCAGATGGCAAATCTGCCCTGATCGGGTACGCTACCTCCACCCCCGCCAGGCCCTGCGCTCCCTCCGGCGGTATCCGCTTCCCCTGCGCAGCGGGAAAGAAGCTAAGATCCTACAGCACTTCGGAGACGGGCTCTGCCGGATGTTGGACGAGCGGCTGCAGCAGCACCGAGCATCGGGCGGTGAGCGCCTTGGGCAGGAGTCATTGATTTCTGCCTCCCCCGGGTGCAGCCTCTGTACCCACGTTGTACACCTCGGCTTCAAGCTCCCCAGTCCTCTCCAAATTGCTGTTTAACCTCAGGCTAGTGGCTGGCGCTCCCCGAGTCTCACCGTTCTCGCATACCACATGAGCAGGCTGCATCCCAGACCCTCGTGGCTGCTGGATTCCCTAGGGTGCGAGTTGACTCTCTTCTCCTACAGGTGATCATGCCCAGGGCTCACCATCTGGAGAGAAGAGTCCAGTCGGGGAAGGGCCAACTGCTGAAGTCCAGGACTCTTCCATGCCAGTGAGGAGGCAACAAGGGGAGTGGAAGGCAAAGTGGGAGTACTGGGTGATGAGGATATTGATTATTGATAACAATCGGTGAGAGAGTTCCATGATCAAGTCAAAGCCAAGTAGTGCCCCAGCCCCCTAATTTGTGGGGTTGCTGTTACTGAGTTCTCTTGTCTTACCGCTCCTGTCCTGCAGTGGATGGTAGGACTGAGGCTGGGCCAGGCAGATAACCCCACCCCCTGCTCTGTCTTGTCTCTTCCCAGATTTGTAGGGGATTATCCCAACATCTGGCCCATATTACAGATAAGGAAACTGAGAGGCAACTGAGTGAGCTGCCCAGGGCTATGTGACCTGCTGAAACCTCAGCCCGGCCAAGGATCCACAGTATCAACAGTGGCTGGCTTGCTTTTGTGTTCAGAGCCTCTCTGTACCTTTCAGGTTTCTGCCCAGCCCAAAGCAAGAGGCTCTGGCAGCTACTGGCCAGCTCGACACTCAGGAGCCCGAGTGGTACTGCTACTGCTCTTCCAGGAACACCTGGTGAGTGCCTGGCTACACCGGGAGTGGGGAACCAAGACAATGGGGTGGGAGGCTCCTAAAGGAGCCTAGCCTGGACAAAGCAGGCAAAGATCATCCCAGCCACTCAGGCGGGGTGAGAAAGGGCCCCAGCACTTAACCTACCCTATCATTTCTGCCTTGGTTTCAGAATCCTAATGGCCATGGCTTTCTAACCAAGGAGGAGCTGCTGCAGAGGTGTGCTCAGAAGGCCCCTAGGGTAAGCACTGGGAAAGGAGGACAGGCGCAGTCTCTGGAACCCTCCAGAGACTGCTTTTCATGGCAGCAAGCAGTGGCATGGGGTCTGGCCTGTGTACGGCCTGTGGCTGACGGCACAGAGAGCATGGACTTGTGGTAGCATCAGGGGCTCTCTGAGGGTCTCCTCCCCTATCAACAGGTAGCCCCCAAGAATGCTCAATCCTGGCCAGCCCTCCGCTCCCTCCTCCACAGGAACCTGGTCCTCAGGACACACCAGCCAGCCAGGTGAGGCCCACTGCAGAGGATACAGGAGCAGGGATGGGAAAGTGTGCATGACATTCTTAGTGGGGTTTTACAGTCACCCAGCAATTCTCAGACCTGTTATTGTTGAGGTTGGGGAAGGTTGGCCTTCCTCCAAGGAGCCCACACTGTTGAGGTACCAGGAGGAGGGTCTGAGAGACTGAGGCAGTGGCGGGGGATGGAGGCAACAGTTACTGGAGGAGCAGAAAGCCTTTGCCAAAAAGAGAGCATTTGATACATCTTAGGATTTGGCGGGTATAGACACAGGAAAAGTATTCCAAGGAGGAAAAAACAGCATGAACAAAGACAGGAGGAAGGAAAGTTTTTCTGAGATGTACTTATTGCAGACCTGAGAAATGGCCCTGGGCAGGTCTTGAGGAAGCTGATCTGAGGCCCCAGGAGATGGGGGGAGTGAGGAGAGCCACTGGACTTGTTTGTGCAGGGTCGCCAAGGGGGAGGTGACGCCAGCCTAGCTGGGAGCAGGCAAGAGAGCCTGCTAGGTATAAGCGAAGAAGGGACAATTGTGTTCACACTCTCCGCCTCCCAGGTACTCACTGACCCCTGAGGGTTTGGAGCTGGCCCAGAAGCTGGCAGAGTCGGAGGGCCTGAGCTCACTGAATGTGGGCACCGGACCTGAGGAGCCCCCTGGGGAGGAGTCACCAGTGCCAGGAGCAGCCTCGGCTGAGCTGTGAGGAGGAGTGGAAGGCGGCAAGAGCGGGGGCAAGAGGGGTCCCAAAAATGAGACCAACACTCCACCCTGATATTCATCACCTGCAGCTGAGCTGTGGCTGCCCTGCCTCCAGTGGGTTGCGGGGGACCACCCTGGCACTGGGGGTTCTGGCCTCACACACACCAACCCCCCACCCCTGTAGTGGCGCCAGTGAAGGGGAGGTCCAGCAGCCGCTCCTGGAGCTGGGGCCCGGAGAGTACAGGGTGCTGTTGTGTGTGGACGTCGGTGAGACCAGGGGGTGAGTGAGGTGTGGGGTGATGATCAGAGGATGCTGGGGAATGAGTGCCAACCTGCCCTGACCTAGGCCTCCCTCCTTGCAATTCTAGGGCGGGGCACAGGCCAGAACTACTCCGAGAGCTACAACGGATGCGTGTGACCCATACAGTGCGCAAGCTGCACATTGGGGACTTCGTGTGGGTGGCACAGGAGACCAGGCCCAGAGACCCAGGTAAAGGGCTGTAGATGAGCAGGTGTCAGAGGCAGGGCCTCGTGCATGGAGGGACGCTAACCAACGGGACCCTTCTTGGTTTCTCGGCAGCAAGACCCAGGGAACTAGTCCTGGACCACATTGTGGAGCGCAAGCGGCTGGACGACCTGTGCAGCAGCATCATCGATGGCCGCTTCCGGGAGCAGAAGGTTCCTGCGCTGGTCTTGCCCCACTCTCTGCTCCCTGCCTGCTGTAGGGCCTCCTTCTCAACGCAGAGGAATCCAGGGACACTTCTAGGTGGCCTCCTTGAGGCAGAGCTCCCAAGGACTCCAGCCATACTCCATGAGAGCTGCTCTAGGCAGCCTCATGATCAGACAGTGCAGGCCCAGCCAGGCACACAGTAGGAATGCAGGGTCTCTGGGCTAGGCTGAGGAGCATATTAAAGACCCCTTGGGCACCCAGCCCCTGCACCCTGGATAAACAGGTCCCAAACCTGCAGGAGTAGAAATGGAAAGGCTGTACCTCAGTATCATCCACTGAGCTGTTCTCATCATGATCAGACAGTGCAGGCCCAGCCAGGCACACAGTAGGAATGCAGGGTCTCTGGGCTGGGCTGAGGAGCATATTAAAGACCCCTTGGGCACCCAGCCCCTGCACCCTGGATAAACAGGTCTCAAACCTGCAGGAGTAGAAATGGAAAGGCTGTACCTCAGTATCATCCACTGAGCTGTTCTCATAGTCAGAGAGGCCACACCTAGGCCAAGAGAGGCTTGAAGGCTGGGCAGCATTCAGAAGCCGTAGAAGGGCTTTTCCAGCAAGAGTAGCAGCATGGGCAAAGGTGTGGAGACCCTCCGAGACAGGCAGAGAGGCTAGGGAGGATGAGGAGCCTAATTGGTGGGACCAAGGTCACACTGCAACTGAGTGGGACATGATTGACAGCCCAGGCATATCAGCGTCTGGCCCTGGCCTTCCCTGCCCCCTCTCTCTGCCTCCCCAGTTCCGGCTAAAGCGCTGCGGCCTGGGGCGCCGGGTGTACCTGGTAGAGGAGCATGGCTCAGCCCACAACCTCAGCCTGCCTGAAAGCACGCTGCTGCAGGCTGTCACCAACACTCAGGTGAGCACAGAGGGCAAGGTCAGACTATCAGGAGCCCCTGTGCTCTGTGGTTCAGGCCAGGAGCCACCCTCCCTCTCTTGGGTTCTCTTCCCTAGGTCATTGATGGCTTCTTTGTGAAGCACACCGGGGACATTAAGGAGTCGGCTGCCTACCTGGCCCTCTTGACACGAGGCCTGCAGAGACTCTACCAGGTGAGCAGATGCTCTTATCTGGCACTGGTCCTTTACCTGGGCCCTGTGCTTCCCCAAGGAATGAGAGCCCCATTTCTCAGGCTGACCCACTGAGGTCTTGGATTAGGCAAGGACTGGCTGGGATTGTCTCTTAGAGCTCCAGCCTGGTCTCAGTCCCCTCTCTTCCCTCAGGGCCACACCCTATGCAGCCGCCCTTGGGGAATCCCAGGGGACTCTGAGGCAGGGGCCCGGGCTGCCCCAAACCCTCTCTGCTCACTCCTCACCTTCAGTGACTTCAACACGGGAGCCATGAAGAACAAGGTACTGCCTCTGCCCAGCTTCTCCTTATGTGGCCTGGCCCCAGACCACCCCTGAAACAGTCTTTCCTTGATCTCAGGCCCAGTCAGTGCAAGAGGTGTTTGCCCGGCAGCTGATGCAGGTGCGTGGAGTGAGTGGGGAGAAGGCAGCAGCCCTGGTGGGTCGATACAGCACTCCCGCCAGGTAGGCCCCCTGCCCTCCCCTCATGAAATTCAACTTAATCAATGCTTGGGGGTGGGGGTCGGGACACTGAGCTATGTGGGCTCTGCAGACCTAGAGATGGACTGATCTGGTGGAACCCTGGGGAACTCATGTGAATCTTGGGGAACTTATGGAGGTCAAATGGGAAGAAAGGCAGCCAGCCAGGACCAGACATTATCCCAGGCATCGGGGGAGGCCACAGGAGGGAGGGAGATGTTCCACCTGGTGGAGCAGAGAAGGCTTCTTGGAGGAGGGAGCTGGGCCTTGAAGACTGGGGGAGATTTGGAGCCTTTGCTGGTTTTGCCCCAGTGTTCCAGAAGGGAGGACAGGCAGGGTGCAGCAGGACCTTGAATGCTAGGCTCAGGAAGTGCAGCAGTGTCCTGACTCCTCTACCCTGTGCCAACCTTTCATGGTGCTGGCTCAGAGCTGCCCAGAGTGGGCCAGCAGTCAACCATCACCAAGCCTTAGGAACTCAAACATCCCATCCCTGGGCCGGCCCGGTGGCGCACTGCTATAGTGCACCGATTAGGAAGCGCGGCGGCGCTCCCGCCAAGGGTTCGGATCCCACATACAGACCGGCCGCTCACTGGCTGAGCGAGGGGCGGGAGCAACACCGAGGGTTGCGATCCCGTGGCCGGTCCCGGCCCGGTACAGGCGCGACACTGAGGGTTGCGATCCGTTGCCGGTCACGAAAAAAGACAAAAAGGAAAAAAAAAAAAACAAAAAAAAAACATCCCATCCCACCTGTAGCCTCCTGGCCGCCTATGATGCCTGTGCCACCCCCAAGGAACAGGAGATGCTGCTGAGCACTATCAAGTGTGGGCATCTGCAGAGGTGAGAGAAAGAGCCAACCTGGAGTGAATGTCGGGGGCTGGGGCTGCCCTCAGCCCAGGGCCTGACCCTCACCTCTTTCTCTTCCTGAAGGAACCTGGGGCCAGCTCTGAGCAGGACCTTGTCCCAGCTGTACTGCAGCTACAGCCCCCTGACCTGAACTATGCCATGAGAGAAACCCTAGTTCCCTCTTCCCCCAACCCTGGCTAGCCAACCTTATAACCGGCATCTTTTGGGCTTCAATAAAAATCTAAATGTTTGCACCCTTATGTGTTATGGAGAGGCCTTGTAAAATATGCAGGAACTGGGGAGACCATCTGGTCCAGTGGTTTTGATTTTTTTTTTTTGTCTTTTGTCTTTTTCCGTGTCCGGCAACGGATCGCAACCCTTAGTGTTGCCCCCGTACCGGACCGGGGACC